ACTTAGGTATGCCCATTCACCATCGTAAGCTGACAAACAGAGAATGGAAGTGTATCGAGGATCGGTTTGAGAACAAACTGAGTTGTTGGAAGGGCAAACTCATGTCATACGGAGGCCGATTGATTCTTATTAATTCGGTGCTCACGAGTATACCTATGTTTCTCTTGTCTTTCTTCGAAGTCCCAGTTGGTGTTAGGAAAAGGTTGGACTTGGATCGATCCAGATTCTTCTGGCAGAGCGATGAACTAAAAAGAAAATACAGACTTGCCAAATGGGATATCATCTGTCGACCAAACGACCAGGGGGGCCTTGGCATTGAGAATCTTGAAGTCAAAAACAAATGTCTTCTCAGTAAGTGGCTGTATAAGTTATCAGTTGAGACTGATGCCACGTGGGCGCAGATCCTCCGAAGTAAGTATCTGCAGTCCAAAACTTTGTCTCAGGTGGCAATGAGACCGACGGACTCGCCTTTTTGGAAGGGGCTCATGAGATTCAAAGCAGCCTTCTTCAATAGGGCAAAGTTTATAATCGGTAATGGCACTACCACGCGTTTCTAGGAGGATACCTGGCTTGGAGAGACGCTGTCGGCGCTTCAGTATCCGTCCTTATATAGTATTGTTCAACGACGTGATGCTTATGTTGCAACGATACTGCAGTCCATCCCCCTTAATATTCATTTTAGGAGGACGCTTGTTGGCAACCGATGGGAAGCGTGGCTTCATTTAGTGAGTAGACTGATGGAGGTTCAGCTATCTCAACAGCCAGATCAGTTGTGCTGGAAGCTTACTAGGTCTAGAGAGTTCACAGTTAAATCGATGTATATCGATGTCATCAACTCTAGCACCATTCCTAGTTCCGAATATGTTTGGAAAGTCAAAGTTCCTTTGAAAATTAAAGTGTTTATGTGGTTTGTACATAAACAAGTCATATTAACAAAGGATAACTTGGTAAAGCGCAACTGGACAGGATCTACTAGGTGTAGTTTTTGTGATCGGGATGAAACTATCAAACACCTTTTTTTTATTGCCCGTTGGCCAAAGTTTTGTGGCAGACGGTGCACATTGGCTTTAGCATTACTCCTCTGAATTCTGTCAGTATGTTATTTGGAACGTGGCTTGTTGGGATAGAGTCTGAAACAGCTAGACACATTCGCGTAGGAGTATGTGCTTTATTGTGGGCAATTTGGAACTGCAGAAATGATTTGGCTTTTAACAGAACAACAAATATTTATTTTTTGTAGGTTATATTCTGAGCCACTGCGTTGATCCGTATGTGGTCGTTACTCACTCTGACGGAGGCCAGGGAGCATTTGGTTACTGGATCTGTCCGGTGGGAGATGGTAGCACGGGATATCTTCAACCGGTTTGGATGGCTGTCATGTAATAGGATAGGCGATTAGTTTTTCTATCTTTGTTATGCTAGCCGGTTGAGGCCTATTGGCTTTTGTGTTTTTGGTGTTGTGGCTCTTCGTGAGCTTGCTGTTACTTTTGTTTCAGACTATAAGACCTTGTTGAACCTATTTGCTTATTTATAAAGGTGGCCGTATGCATCGTTCTGATGCATAGGCCGGGGAGTCCCCCCTTTTAAAAAAATGTGATGGCTGCTGCCAGTTCATTTGACAAAGTTGACCTAATCAAAATTGTGAGAAAATTCAAAATCGAAATTACTTAGGAAGCATAGAGAATTTAAAAGATGTGGTAGGAGAGCTCACCCCTATGAAAAATGTAGAGAAGACGTTTCTTGCGCAATTTGTTAATTTGAGTATACTTAGCGATGAGTGGAAAAGGCATTGATTGACCTAGACCTACTATGTACTCCATTAGAAAAACTATTATGATGTACATATTTTGCTCAACTTACTACCACAACTTCAAAATCCTCTTTCTCAAGCATTATTTTTCCAATTTCAATAAGTTTACCCTCTAACTCCAAAATCATTAATTATAGTCTTGGGGAATTTTATCCAGGGGTGGAGCCACGAGTATTCACTTGTATTCATGTGAATACTAAAGATTTGACTGACAAAAACGAGTATTCGTATCGGTCCACTGGCCCACAAGGCCACAATGACCCCACAGCCCCACACAACCTAGTAAACTACAGCGCCACATTCCATAGCCCCCCACTGATTTTATCTGGCATCTTTGCTCTCTATAGCGGTAAAGCTAAACAACAAGAGAGTGACCTTGCTCTCATACCAATCGAAGGTTCAAATATGACAGAGAAGACGACTAGAGGAGGCATGAATAGGCGACTACCAAATTAAAAAAATTCTTAGTTGATTTTAAGGGCTAGTGCGGAAATGTAAGTTCTTTGTATGTGCAAAAGGATGATACACAATATATGATGTATTACAACAAGCTAGCAAGCTACATAGGGCAACAAAAAAGTAATAACACAAATTAAAGCTAGGGTTAAGGGACAACCAAAAGTGATGGAGACGAAGATGCATACTGAAGTTTACACACTTGGAGGTGTGCTAATCTCCATTGGATAGGTGGGAAATAACGAATGGTCCCACGACAACGAATGTCTCACCTTATATCTCTAAGAACCTTGGTCTACGAATGCCCAAGTTCCCCCTCACTAGGGGTAGCTCTTGGGGCGAGCTCCTAACCCTCACAAACAAGCCTGGGGCACAACCACACGAATCAGAACCTCCCGAGTAACACAAACCATCTTGAGTTCCCCACAAACCCTAAGTGTAACAAGATGTGCTAGGATCTCGGGGGGGGGGGGTCAACAAACTCAAGTTTTGCTTTGGTGGATTTCTTGCTCATGCATTCCTTTTGCTCTTTCAAAAATATAGGATGGGTTGGGTGGGTAGAGAGAGGGGGAGAGAGAAAGAAATCTAAGTTTTGAGCTTTGGATCAATGGAGAAAAGAGCAACGGAGTCGTTCACCCTCCTTTGAAGAAGAAGGGTGTCTTATATAGATCCACCCATTCTCTGTCGTTATGCACGCTACACAGAGAAGTCGGATAGTCTGACCTAAGTCGGACATTCCGACTTACAGATTGTCTAACCCAATGTCCAACATGGTATTCAACTTGATCCAGCGCTCTAGACAAAGTTGAACCCCATGTCCGACCATATGTCCTGACAGCAAGAACAACAACATAAAAGGTGGAAAACACGATGCTCTTTCTCACATGGGATGTGGGTGTATATGGCTTACTTTTGTTGAATGATTCCCACACAAGATTCATGATTAATCCCCACTTAGTAGTATGGCATACCTATGACTCAAAATGAGAAATCATCGGTATAATTTTGATGTGTTTATTCCTTTAGCTTAGGAAGGTTGCCGCTCGGCATTACGCTTCATTTCCAATCATGTGTAAACTGAAAGCACACTTGAAACATAGTTAGACATCTAATTACTATTGCCAGTAACACCAAAATCCTCGTTAGGGACGGATGTGCTTTCAGTCTTCCCATTTTTGATGGTTGATGACAATATTAATAGATCAATATAATAAAAGATATTATGATAAGCTTAGCATGGGTTTTTGAGATTTAGGTCAAGCTCCCTATACATTTGTGCACACATAAGAGAATTATTTGCACTTGAATACAAAGTGCACAAAAATATGATCAACGCTCCCCCTAAGGCTTTAGAAATCACAGAGGTGCAAAAGTGAACATGGATGCACAAAGTGATCTCCACTTATGCGAGAACTTTTGACATGTGAGAGGAGCAATACAAATACATAACATAACCATCTCAAAATGACAACAAGTGATGTGTGTGACAAGGCATATAATACCAACAATATGACATGAGACAATAACGATAATATGCCATATGAAAATCATAGCCATAATGTCACAAGCATATAGCAAGGTCTCGTACATATCTTAAAAGTAGCTACACATAAATAGTACTACATAAGAGGATTTTTGACAATGCCTTCACTTCGATCGACGGGTTGGTTGAACATATTAAATGTGACGCGTGCCAGCTCTACGTGCCTAGATCACCTTGTCGTCTAGGTCGTGCATGGTGGCCTGAGTGTATGCGTGTGCCCTCGAGTTTTTGTTGTAACGTCTGGCTAGGTTGCGTTTCCCCCCTTTGCCTCGTTGTTGTTGGTTTTTTCTTGTGTCTTTGGCTAGGACTTTGTACTTATTTTCTCCTACTACAACATTTTATTTATTTTTTACATTAAAAAAATTCTTGTCTTATTCGCATTGGACAAAATGAAGTAAAAAATAATTCAGAATTACAATGTACATATTTTTGCTCCACTATTTTGAAACTAACTCTCATGCATCCCATGGCAACGTCGGAATCGCCTGGACGAACAACACGAAGACACTGAAACCTAACAAACTAGACCTAAAGTCCCTGTGCAACTCCATGATCCCGTGCGTTCCAGCGTGGAAAATCGGAAGTCGGAGACGAGGAAAACAGCGGAACGGCCGTTAGGGAAGTGGGCTTTGTGTCCGTTAGGGTTTTTCCTAGGTTACGGAGTACTCCTATGGAATTCCATGTAAAAAATCTATATATTTTTACAGAAAATATTTTCTATGCTCTTTATCCTGCAAATTAAACAAACCCTTTAAAAATAATTCCTAAGGAATGTAGTCTGTGCCTCACAAAAAGAGGAATATAATCTGGACGTCGTTTTTCTGATCCCGAGCTCACATGAGCTAGGGTGAACAGTAAAATAAAAAAATGAAAACAATTTCAGAAAATTCCGAATTTTTTTATGTGAAACTTTGACAAATGTTTTGATAGTTTGCAAAATCTCATGTGACCTCGGAATTAGAACATCACTTTCAATATAGTCTGTCCTTTTTTAGACTGTAAGGAATATAGTCGTCTCCCTGGGAATCTAGAACCAAAAGAGGCCTTAAAATCTGTAAAAACTGCTGATGACGTGGTGACCCAAAGCCGAATGTGCTTGGCCCAAAGCAGAGGACATCGATCCCCCATTTCCTCTTCGACCCGGACCAACTCCGTCGCCGTCGCCGTTGGGCGTCGGAATCCGGAAGCGAGATGGCGCGAGGAGTGGACGCCGAGCAGCAGCACCCCATGGCGGAGCAGGTGAAGGAGTATCAGGCGCGATCCAAGCAAGCCTGGGCAACCGCATCCTTCTTCTCCTCCACCTCCGCCTCCACGGCCGGCTCCTCGTGGTACGCAAGCGCCAACCCTAAGCCATTCCGTTTCTCTCACAAGCCTGAGTGTTATGTTTCGATATTACCAAGCTGAGGATGAATTAAGTGACAATACAAGGAAAATCGGCCATTATTAGGTTAACAAAGGGAGTAACAACCATAGTTCTTCATCTTGTTGTAGCTAGTGCTGGATTGTTACCTGCCCAATTGCTTCTGTTCTCAGGATTACAGGCTAAACAAGATGGCAGTTTCACTTTTCATTGACTGCTGTATGAATGAACCGAGCAAAATGATCATTGTAAGCTAAATCTCAAGAGGGACACCTCATATAAACAAGCCCTGATTGCTAGTAGTGTTTACTGCGAAAGCACTATCTCACAGTTGTTCCATAACAATCAAAGCAAAATAAACGACGGGCCTACCAACCTGTTCTATATTTACAAGTTTCTTTTCACATAAGACAACATGAATATTCAGGATTGTCAGAAATTCTCTTCTTAGGAAGAGATCATTTTCATGTCTCTCCTCATTTGCACTACAGTTTAAATTATTGCTCGCATCCTGACTTCCGCAACTATTTTATGCTGGTTGCTGCAGGGTTGAGGTGCTCCTCGTGATATGTGAACTTGCTTTGTATGCTCTACTAGTGTTCGCGTGTATTGCTTTTTATTTCAGGTCCATAGGAATAGCTTTATCCTTTACATGTATTTCTGCACTTCTTTATCTGTGCATGAGATTAACCAAGGAAGAGAGGAAGCACAAGAAAAGTAAGCAAAGAATGCTTCTTCCATTGTCAATGTAAAATACGTCTGTAAATTTCTCTGTAATTACATGTGAAATGCTCTCAGTTTAATACTAGATATATTTACGCTCTCGGCGTCTTTCATATACTATTTTCTCTTCAGTTAGTTGTATCAATTGGCCCGCAATAAATTGTTCTGATGTTTAGTGTTTAGGATATATAGTCCGGATACCAATATTCAGATATTGACTGGTTTATCTTTACTTGAACTCATCTTGGGTCGGCTACTTGTTAAAGTTGGATACCAATTTGATCTAAATCAACTATTTAGCCAGTTAACTACTATGTACTTATTGGAATCCAATACTGATTGGATCACTTATATTTAGTCAGATTTCAGTAATGCTCTAACTTATTGTTCACTGGCCTGACCAAATATAGGCAAAAATATGAATGGCGTATTTCTGAGTTAATTGTGTTTCATAGACTTGTTTGGCATCCTTATCGATGCCAAGTTAACTGACATATATACTCTTTTGCTTTTAGACGTTTCAGTTTCCCAATTGATAATTTGATTATCCTTCAAAATTTGCGATGTTTCTAGAATGAAGAATTCCAACCAGATGTAGTTGAGGTGAACCGCTGAACGAAATGTAACAACCAATAATAGGTGCACATGCATTATACCGAGCTTATGGCGAAGGTTATGGGTCATTTTTGTGTGCTCTTTGTATTTCACTCTATTTTGTGTGTATGAGTTGTTATTTATTAGTTAATCATACAGTTTGTCAAATATAAGAAACGTAGGCCAGCATTTAGTAATAATAATACCTATTTTTTGGTTTCATTAAGATGCGGACAGTCTAGCGATGAGGGCCTACGTTTCATGCTGTTCGTTCTGTGATCAGGTCCTCGAGTCGGCTGCCAGTCTCATGCTGACCTGCCCATTGGCCTGGGAAGTTTGGCTCTGCTTTCATCAAACTGATCCAAGAGCTGCTGGTGCTGGCACAACGTCGATGACAATCAAGGGCTGGTGGAGAAGGAGCTGGGCCCTGCGCAAGCAACCGGATTTTCGCACACAGATGACCATGTCTGGGTACATGGCCCGGAACCTTTGAGAGGAAGAGGTTATGGCCAGAGACGAGATTAGGTCGTTACCGGAGGCTACCACTTAGGCCATGTTTGGATCAATGTTTCCGTTTCAGATACCTCCGTAATACATGCCTCGCTCAGTCGTTTTGTTTCCGGATGGCAATTGCTCATTTTTTTTATTTTATTTTTTTGCAATCAATTCAGAGAGCTTTATTCAAACAAGAGCATTCCTTGGACAGTCAACCATAAGGCTTGTCACAAGGAAGTTGGGAGTCTCATCAAGCCAGCTTTCCGTTACATGCAATGTGCAAGCACGCTTAGCACATAGATGAGCCGAAACGTTTGCTAACCGATTTACATGTTGAACAACAAAAAGAGAAAAATCACGAGCTAGCACTCCAATCTGAACTAAGATAGGTGCCATAATAGATCTCGAATTGTGGCGAGAATTCCAGAGATCAACCATCTCCATGCAGTCTATTTCCATTATCACATGTGTGAAGCCTCGAAGTCTTGCAAACAACACCCCGTCACGAAGTGCATAAGCTTCAGCCAAGAGGGGATCGGTGATTCCCATGTATGGTTTACACCAAGCTCCTAACATCTTGGTTGCCGAGCGAGCCACACCACCTGCACCTCCAGTGCTTGTGTCGAAGTCAATGGCGCCATCTGTAGTGATAGAAATGTGATCAAACTCAGGTGGCCGCCACCCACATCCCGCCATGGTCACAGTAAGATTCCGAGGAAGATCTAGAATGCGAGAGCCTCTCTCGTCAGACGCATTGATGTTGCCGGATCTGTTCCTTCCTCATTGTGTTTGATTTTGTTGCGGGAGTGCCAAATGGCCCACATGATCGTAATGATCAGTGGCCTGTCCTTTTCTGAGAAACGATCATGACATAATATATCCCTCGCCCAAGAGTCTGGATGGAGCCGAGGTAGATGAAGATCAAACCATGACCGAACCTCATGCCAGAACCTCTTCGCATGCGAACAATACATCAACGCATGTTGGAGGTCTTCATCTCTAGCTAAGCAGATTCTGCATCTGCTAATCTCACTTATATGCCGCCTCTTGAGTGTGTGCTCATCTGGAAGAATGCCGCGGATAACTCTCCACCAGAACAGCCTCACCTTCGGGACAACATTGAGCTTCCAAAGTGCAGACCACAACTGTTGATCATCCCGTGAAGTACCGGTATCCGTCCCTTCCTCTAGAGCTAAACACTCTTTCTGAGTCATAAGTGCACGGTACGCCGTCTTGACAGTATAGTTGCCTGACTTATTGAGCGCCCAAGCGAGAAAATCTTCACCACCGCCTTGCCTCAATGGAATATTAAGAATAGCCTGGGCATCCGGCGCAATGAAATTGTCTCGGACCACCTGCTGTCGCCATGACCAGTTATCACTATCTATCAGATCAGAGACCTTGTCGAGTGTGGTAGGCGATGGTTGCAGCAGTGGCATCATGGAGATGGTTCCCGGAATCCATTTGTCAGTCCATATAGAAGTGGATGTGCCATCTCCTATTCTTTTGATCAAACCGGCTTGGAGAGCTTCCCTGCCCGCCATAATCGCCCGCCAAGTCTTGGAAGCTGACTTGGGCAGCGTAGCATCCATGAAATCAACTTCCGGGAAATACCGTCCTTTTAGCACCCTTGAGCACAATGTATCTGGTTGTGTTAGCAGCCTCCACCCTTGTTTGCCCAACATAGCTAGATTAAACTGGTGCATGTCCCTGAAGCCCATGCCCCCTTTGCACTTTGGCGTCGTCAATTGTTCCCATGAGACCCAATGCATTGCCTTCCTGTCAAGAGAGCTGCTCCAAAAAAACTTTGCCATTGGGGAGGTAACACTCTTGCATACCTTCTTGGTTAGGAGAAAAGTGCTCATACTAAACGTTGATATGGATTGCACCACTGATTTCATCAATGTCTCTCTGCCTGCACATGCCAATAAACGTTCAGACCACCCTTGCATCTTCCCTCGAGCCCTGTCACCAATGTGGTCGAAAGTTTCACTTGTGATGTGCCCCACAGCAGTAGGAAGACCCAGGTACCGCTCGCTAAAGGCCTCAACTTGAATGTCCAGCATCGCCTTGATTGTTTGCCGCACCGAATCAGGGGTGTTTGTACTGAAGTAAATAGCACTTTTGTCTCTATTAACCCTCTGTCCGGAGGCATTGCCATACATCTCCAGAATCGTATTCAATATGTCCGCACTTTGTCCACTTGCATTGATGAATATAAGACTGTCATCTGCAAACAATAAATGACTGACCCAAGGTGATATGAAGCTAGCTCTGATCCCCCTGTCAATATATCCCCCATCATATGACTTGATCAAAGAAGATAAGCCCTCTGCACAAATTAGAAATAAATATGGTGATACGGGATCTCCCTGCCGCAAACCTTTCGAAGGGGTGAAAAAAGGAAGAAGCTCCCCATTGACCCGAATCGAGAATCTGACAGAAGATACACACTTCATAATGAGTCTAGTAAAACTCATAGAGAAACCCAATCTCAACATGATGGCCTCCAGGTAGTGCCATTCGACTCTATCGTACGCTTTCATCATGTCAAGCTTGACAGCGCAGGAATAATTCTTCCCCTTCTTCCTCCACTTCATTGTGTGCACACTTTCGTATGCAACTAACACAGTGTCGGTGATCAAGCGTTCAGGAACAAAGGCACTCTGTTCTTCACTAATAATTTCATCCATAATACTCCGCATGCGATTAGTGATTGCCTTGGCAGCAATCTTATACAGAACCAGACAGAGAGCTATAGGGCGGTATTGGAGAATTGTCTGTGGATGCCGTACCTTGGGAATAAGAGTGATCGAAGTGTCGTTAAGTCCGGTAGGCATGTCACCCCCATTCAAAAGATCCAAAACTGCTCGTGTCACGTCCTCCTGGATAACACTCCAGTGACGTTGATAAAAACCCGCCGTAAACCCATCAATGCCCGGGGCTTTGGAGGCCGCCATTTGGAATAGAGCCTCCCTCACCTCGGTTGCATCATATGGTTTATTCAAAAGATCATTCATAGCATGTGTTACTTTCACCGGAACAAAGTTCAACAAATTATTAGCATCATAAAAACCTTGGGACTCATACAAGTTCTGGTAAAAAGCTTGCACTTCCTCCTTGTCCTCTCTTTCTGTTGCACAAACCGAGCCGTCCTGGCGCCTGAGATGGGCAATTCTATTTATGTGTTTTCGCACTGCTGCTTGTGCTTGAAAGTAGGATGTATTACGATCTCCTTCGCGTAACCAACGGACACGCGAGTGTTGTTTCATCCATATCTCTTCCTGATGCATAGCCTCCCGGAGTTTTGGGACCGCACGTTTCTCTTCATCTGTCGGGCCATGTCCAGCAGACTCACTCCGGAGCTTATTCAACTTTTTCTGAAGCTGTCTCACCGTACGTGTGAGGCACCCGAACTCCTTTGCTCCCCATGGACCAAGAGTGCGCCTGAGAAGATCAAGTGAATCTGATATACCTTGCAGTCTCGGGGCACGAGCATGACCACGCCATGTTTCTGACACAAGCTGATCATAATCCCTGTGTGTTTGCCAAACACTTTCATATCTAAACTGCCGTGTATGCTGAGATCTACCCGGCAGAGAAGCTTTCACATCCGCTACAACAAAACAGTGATCCGATTCACATGCCGCAAGATGCTTCACTCGGATATACTCATAATGTTGCCGAAACTCCTCATTTGCAAAGGCTCTATCCAGCCTTGCTTTGACATTGGACAGGCCTGCTTGCCTGTTATCCCATGTGTACGCACAGCCTGACCATCCAAGGTCTTGTAACATACAGTCATCTACAACCTCCCGAAAAGCTCGCATCTGCCCCTCCGGCCTGGGTGTTCTACTGAAGTGTTCTGATGCGAAAAGCGTCTCGTTAAAGTCCCCCATGCACAACCACGCCGAGTGTGGAATACCGAATAAGGTGCGCAGAAAGCGCCAACTATGATGTCTGTTTTCCACTCTGGGAGCGCCATAAAATCCTGTGAATCGCCACTCCATAGAGTTTTGATTCAAGTCCTTCACCATCACGTCAATATGACTGATACTAAAATTCTTCAGCTCAACTGAAACATCCTTTGTCCAGAACAGACCAATACCTCCACTCAACCCTTCACTGTCGACTGCATAGTAGCCACTGAAACCTAGTCCATATTTCAGAAATTCAACACGCTTGCCTCTAATCTTTGTCTCCATGACGAAGAGAAGAGAGGGTCCTTCTTGCTTCACTAAACTGCGAAGCTCTCAAACTGCCTCAGGGTTCCCAAGCCCCCGGCAGTTCCAACTCATGCATCTCATTGGGACGGGCAGGACCGCGCCGCGGTCTCTGCTGAATTTTCAGGTGTAGGCTTCTTCTTCTTTGGATCACGTGCAAACTCTCTCCCATCCCCCTCCTTGTCGTCCAGTTTTCCATCAGATGTGGTTGGGTCTTCTGAATCCTTGTTGTGTTCGTCCTGGCCCGAAGTAAGGAGGAGCTACTGTTTTGGTATGTAGACTGGATTCGGCCCCTCCTTCCTCTTATACTGCTGCCTGTTCTTCACAGATGAATTTACCTCTACCCCTGCGTCTTCCCTAGAGCAAGAATTCCTAGTATTGTTCTTGCTGCTCTGCTCTGAATTCTGGCTCCGGGAAGAGTTGTAACTAGTGGTTGGTTTTTTGGACTCGTCGGCAGCCTCAGTTGGGCCCCGAACGGCAAGTCGCCGTTTGCATCTCGGGTCCCCGATGTAGGGCAGTGCAGCTCCGAGTGTCCAAGGCGGCCGCAGGAGAAACAAAAGTAAGGGATTTGCTCATACTGAATATCATAGGGATCAACCTTCTTCCTCCTGGCCGAGTCAATTAATACCCACCTTCTCAGAGGCTTGTCCACTTCAATGGTAACCCTAGCCCGCAGATAGCCCCCAATGTGATCAAACTTTGCTAGCTGTGCCTTGGGGTCAATCTGTCTAGCAATAGGTCCAGCCCATGCATCATCACGAAGATTGTATGGGAG